ATCCATCAACAATGAATTATGATAACTTTAATAATATTTTGATTGATAATAATAATAGTAACAAATATCAATCATCATCATTATTTATTAAGGAAAGAACTGGAGGTTATGTTTGCACCAGTAATTTTAATTCCAATGAACACAGTAAATTCAAAGAACTTTACAAAAATCATCTAAATCAAATTAATGATCCTAAAAATATTAATTGGGATAAAGTATATGAATATTGGATGGATCTTGCTGATAGAAATGCAGATTCAAATTCTTGTACATTAATCCGTCCTAAATTAAAAGAACATTTAAAAGAGCATTTTTCAGTAATTAATAATTTTTATTTACAAAAAAAAATAGAAGAAAGTGTAGAAGCAGGTAGAATATAGTTTTTAAATATTTAACATTAATAATGAAAGATTTTAACTATTTATTTAATTATTAAGGGTCTTCATCAACAACATCCAACTCATCATTAAATACAAATGGTAAATATGCTTCTTACTTTGGTTTTCACTAAATATCATTGAGATATCATTAATTATTATAATTTTTTACATAGTATTAAATAATAATAAGAGACCAATATCACCAGTGCCATCATCACCATTTATGCAACAGCAACAAAAACGAACATATAAAGAACCAATTTGTCATCGTTGTGGCAAAAGTAAATCTAAAGATAAAAAAGAACATCCATTAAAAAGGTATTGTCCTGATGGTGTGTTAAGTACAAAAATACATATTACATTTCCTCACGTTTGTGAACAAAAACCATGTTTTCAAAATTGTAATGATAGGAATTAGAATAAAATAAAATAATTTTATTATGTACAATATTTTATTTATATTTAAATCACGAGATATTACATCAAAATCCTGGCAGGGGTTTGAGCCGCAGTCAATTCTGGCAGCCAATTACGAGCCCATTCATCTGAATTTTTTTTAGCATGGCGGACATTCGCAAATTGGTAATGATTTTCGTCGATCATATTTTGATTTTATCACGAAATTTGATTGGCCCGAATAAATTACACAAAGGTTTTAAAGAAAATTTTTATTAGACCCATCTCAGCTCTTATTTGTGTCTTTTCATTTATATCTTTGTATTCTTTAATCTTTTGCTTGATCAAAATATCGTAATTTTTTAATTGATCTTCCGATGACTTAATTCTTTCTTGTAGCTTTAAAGTTAAAGTGGAAGATAGAAAAAGAAGAATATGATATATTATATTAATATAATAATTTACAAGCTCCATTAACATTAAAACGAATGTGAGTATTATTATGATTATTATTGTTACTAGAAGGACGACAAATTGTGATAAGCAGTGGTGAATGAACGAAAACTTACGCGTCTTATTTTCCTGAACCCTCTTCTCCAGCTCTGATCAACTGGTCCACATAATCCCAAATCTGTAATAAAACATCTAATATACGGTGGACAATCTGTTGTGAAAGTCCTTCTTCGTTACCGAAAAGTCGTAACCCTTCGGACTAGACCTGTGGTGAATAGGATATATAATAAATGATATACCGTACGCTGGAACATTTATTTTGATAATGATGACATAATTACTCATTTATATATATATATATATATATATATATATATATATATATATATAGGATAGAAATATCTTCTGGTGATAATGGAGTAGATATTGAAGGATTTTTTAATATTTTTATCACTTTTATATATAATTTTTTTATTGAAACAAAAATAAAATTATAAATGTATATATATATACTAACTAAATGAACACCAGGTCCAATTCGTTGTTCGTCGAGACCAGGTATTAGTAGAGTTTTCAAAAAAACAATACTATTTTTTTTATTGTTTGATCTTTCTGTAATAATAATAAATTAAAGCTTTTTCAGAATAAATCTATATTCTAAGTCTGTTGTCATTTATATCTGAAAATTCATAGTAATAGTAATTATTAACATCAGGAAGATTGTATTGTATAATAATTATAATGTGAATGCTTTAAAAAACAATACAAGATGATTTGAAATTCCAAATAATATATACCATAATTTCAGTTTTAAACACGTAAACGTGTTGCAGTATATCAAACACACGTCAAAAAAAAAAAAGTTGGTATATAGCTTGATTTTCCTAGTACAGACCCATATATATTCTGGCAATAAAAAGCAAGCGATAAACTGATTTGAATTGGATCTGAACTTGATCTCCAATTTAGAGAGGTAACAATTATATACTGGTGAAGACAAATTTTATGTTATTTCTAATTTTTGATAGTAGATTATGCTTTTGGTTATGTTCACTTTAATGCAAATGACCAAAGAGAAAATAGTGGTCATGTGAACATTCAATATCATTAATAATTGCTATATATATTAACATTAATATTGTAATTATATATATATTAATATATATATATATATAGTAAAATTCATTGATTCCCGATTTATTCAAATGTTGTTATTATTTGTTGTTATTATTATAATATATATATATATATTAATATTAATATACCAAAAAAAATCAAGAAGCTGTGGAGTCGAAAGTGGAATTGCTGAAACCATTATTGGATGGTTTTCTTGACATTTTTTTAATTTAGATAGTAATGAACATGTAGACAAAGTCACTGACGATGATGAACAATTAACTGTTGGTTGTGAAAAAACCAGTACCAATGATGAAGTTGATGAAGACAATCCAACAAGTAGTATTGTGTATGTTCACGTCTCCGATGTTAAAAGTGATAAGAAAAAATATTTGTAATAATAATTTCAGAGGAATTGATAATTTGCTATCTGTTGCACGAAAGTGTGAAAATGTTAGTTTTCTTAATGAAAATATTATTATTACATCATTATCTTTCAAATATAAAATCTACGAGTCATCAAAACAAAAATATTTGGTTTAACTATTATACAATAAATATTTTCGTTTGCTATTACTCCTTAAACATTGAATCTGATTATAAAAGCGTTTGCACAATTCTTGATTTTTGTGCGCAGCGACTGCCAATAAGAAACAACTTGTTTCTATTTAAATCAATTGAATTAGAGCCATCGCAAAATATACAAAGATCGATAATCGATATTATCACTTTGGGACACACAAATGTCCGTCATTCATAATATTTATAGGGATTAAGATCTAAAGAATCCTCATTTTCAAAAAGAAATCGCCATAGTATGAAGATATTGACGTTCCAAAATACATATCCGGACCATGCAGAAAAAACTTAAGATCCTTTGGCAAGGAGAAAAATGGGACACAAAGCCAATAGAGCAACATCTGTTTTTCTGTCAGAAGTGGTTTTAAATCAGCAATTCTGGAGAAAATCTTAAGCTCATATAAATTTCTGTGAAGTTTCAACTCCTCAATATGATTTTTTTTGAATTATATTTATTGACAAAAATTTAGATAATTCCAAAGGTGCGAACTGCATTTTGCGGTTTAAGTTGCTTAGAGATATCCTTTTGTTACCTCCGTGAGAGTCTAAAATTTTTCCTCGCATAAACTCTTCATTTTAAAGAAAATTCTTTTTTGCAAACTTCATATGACATGAATGAGATAGTTCAATACTAAATATGTTGGGTTGGTTGACAGGAGATAAAAAATGCATAGTCAAAGATCGGTTACAAATATTGTTTATTATTTTTTTTTAAAAAAAAAAGGAAAATAATAAATGAAATTGAAAGTCAGGAAAATGTATAATGGGCTCGTTTTACAATTTAGGATTGATGAATTTGGCCATGACTTTATACCCTTCCCGCGCTTTCCTTCGGGAGATAGAGCGATAGTGCGTAATGAGAAACTAGTTTTCACTTGGAACTTTCCTTCAAGAGGTATCATCATCCTAAATTCATTTGAAAATTATTTCATTCAACTAATTTTCACGATAAAATCATAGAGAAGCATACGAAAAGAATTATTTTATGATCTTTTAAGGAAACAGGGTGTACGAAAATAAAAATATATTTATGGAACAATTGTAATATTGTAGCGATTCTTATAAAATTATTTAAATCTTAAAATTAGTGTTGAAGATTATAAAGTAAATATTAATATATTATTAGAACATTAATCCTAACATAAAATAAAATAAAAATTAATAATGATGTTGAAATCAAGTTGTGAATTAGAAATTGCAAGTGGTGTTATGCTAATTTATAAATTTACAGTATATTCAATCATTCAATAGATAAGTTTTATTGACTTTTTCGCCAGTTGGGAGAATTACTTTATGAGTAATTATTTTAGAGCTCCTGGGATTGGATATAGAAGTCTGATTATTGTTTTCATTAATTGTAATTAACTGGTCATTCTGAATATTTGATTTATCATTATCATTATCATTGTTATTATTATTATTATTCAAAATTATGCTACTATCTACTACAGCTTCAGTATTACTATCACTATTATCACTATTGGTATATTTGTAGCTATTATCATTGTTTGAAATGATTTCAATATTACTAGTATTAAATTCATTTTTATCTTCATTTTTAACCATTTCATTGGATTTCTTTTTTCTTCTATATAAAATAAGAATAGCAATAAAAGCAATAATGAAGATTGCACCAGGTGCAACTGATCCAATAATTATAGCTAGCTTAGCATCACTAGTAGTGTTTGAAGAATCTTGTCCAAAATTATCAGAATTTGTTGAGGGTGAAGGAATTGGATCTGATAATGATGATGATGATGATGATGTAGCAGAAGTATATGTAGAAGGTGCTGGTGTCATAGAAGTTGATGACCGTATTGGAATATTAGGTGTGTATGTTTCCAACCATGTATAAGTTGTGGAATCAAGTATAAATATATTTGATGGTATTGTTTTTAAAATTTCAAACCCCTAATATAAAATAAATATTTTATTTTAAAAAATATATAAATAGATATATAAATAGATAATGTAACATTTTACTCACCATAAATCCTATGTAATAATTTGTTTAAAAAAAGTTGAAAATTAATAAATAACTAAACTAGTAAATTTATTTTCTGACAATTATTATAATTATTTACCATATGCAATTATAATATTAGTTCCAACCATTGTCATTGTATTATCAAACAATCCTGGTAGTTTAGTTATTCCCAAAGGTTGGATAGTTTTCCATGCCAGTGTAGTTGTATCAAGTTCTAACACATCATCATAAATAATTTTTGCATTCTTACAACCACCATAAATAATAATTTTCTTGTCTGTTGCTAATGATAAACAGGAAGAAAGATATATTATGTTGATAGATATACATGTAAATAATCAATTAATTTTGCTGAAAAGATATTTAATATTTGAAAACTTACTTCCAACAGCTCGATGACCTCTTCTTGGTGAGGGAGTAACACCTAAAGTGGTCTAAACGTTTAAATAAAATTATGTAAATAAGCTATTTAAATTTAGTAATTAAATATAATAGTTATAATTATGATTACAATGTAATGAATGTAATGTAAAAACATTTAACCTTTGAGGTCCAAGTATCTAGATTAGTGTCATAAATAGTAATTACATTCATTTCCGATAGGAGAGAGGAGCCTGTACCATCCACCACATTATTAATACCACCAATAACATAAATGAGATCATCACTTAGTAAAGTTGAAGTATGATGAGAAATTCCTTTTGGAAAAACATTTATTGGTGACATTTTAAATGTGTCTGTTAATGAATCATACACACATAACGTATTTAATGCATCACCAACACTAGTTTTTTCAACAACAGGTAAGGAGGATCCACCTAATATAAAAACTTTTGAATCATATTTGGTGACTGAAGTGTGTAGCACACGACCAGTACATTCTGGTATAACTTCTTTAAAAGCTAATGACTTTGACTTGCTTGTTGTATTGAAAATATATAATGGATTTGGGGGTGCTTTCCTTTTTGAAAAGCCACCAAATATTATTAATAAATTTTTATCTTGACCTCCAATTGACATACTATGAAATGAAATAGGAATATATCCTTCTAATGAATTCCATCCTGGATATTTTGGATCAAAGTTTTTGATACATCCAAATACAACATAGCAGCATTTACGTCAACGCCAGAACTAAACTCATCAATAGGATCAAAATTAAGATTATCCGCCATTAACATTCTACCTCCATAAACATATAAACTTTTTTTGAATAATTTTTGAAATGTATATATTACTATTTCTCACCCACTAATGTAGCTGTATGACCCCTATTATTATTATATTATTATTATTGTTGTTGTTATTGTTGTTGTTATTATAAATAAAATATTATCTAGTTCACTTACCATCTTCCTGTAGTTGATTGACAATTGACCAACAAAGAACCATTTAACAAAGTTATTGATAAAATAATGATAAAATATTTTATTTTAACATTCATTATCATTGTGATTACTATTATATTATTAGGATGCTAATATAATTATATAGTTTCTTTAAAAAAATTTTCTTTGATGAATCTGTCATAAAAATAATCATACTGATAGGAAATATTAATTTTTGAACTAAAAATGGTTCTTCAATAATAATAAAGCCTAAATAGGTACAATCGTGCACATATATTTGCATAACACTATTCAAATTGGCATTGTTCTCTGTATAAAACGCATTTTCTAAAAATCAATCACTTTGCTACCTGATATAATAATTATCAATTAACGTAAAATCAAATGAACTCAAAAGCTTGAGCAGTGTTTCTTTTTATTCATCATAATTCACTGCAGGCGATGCTTCCCGATTACTTTAATAAATGATTCAATGCTTGGTTGCTGATTTCAATATAGCATTGTTGATATGGGGTTAGTGTTGATCGTCAAAACTATTTTGAAGAGGCGAAGGTCAAAGCTAAAATTAAAAGTTATATGTCAAAACTAAATCAAAAGTCAATAGTCAAAAATCAAAACTAATTTCGACTTGTGGCGAAACCTTTTGACTTTCGCATGGTTGCGAAACTCTCTAGTTTTGGAAACCAACACTATATGGGGTGCAAACAGCAGAAATGAGTCAAATTTTTTGTTACAATAACAAAATCTATTGCAGTTGCAAAAGTTTGATTAATAAAGCCAAGAGTATTTTGCAAGTTTAAATTGTCTTCTATAGCATCAATTCTTTGATTAAATGAATTGTCGAAAGGACCAAATCTTATTATTTCACCATAAAAAACTCGTAATTATGTTTAAGTGATTTGTTATATAGATAGCAGAAAACATGACAATATTTGAATTGGTATTATTATTATTTCTTGCAGTTGCCTGAAATTTTTTGCTATTCCTATAAAAATTGAATTATCGTAAAAAAAGCTCATTATCATATTTTGTGAATAAGATTAATATCAAAGAATAAAAATGACACTGCAATCCGAAACCGAACCGAAAATTCGGGTTTCGGTTTATATTTGACCCAAAATTTTAGACATCCTAAATTCATCAACTATGCAAAAATATACATAAAAAAATCATAATAACTTGTAGCTTAAGCAAAAGACAAATATTAAATTGATCCCTGTAATTCTGGAAATACCAATGTTCACTTTGGTTTTGTTGCAATATGACAATTTATAATTCTGTAATTTGATCAACGAAATGTGCGCATCTAAATTTTGTGCGTGAATTTGAAATTCACGCGCGTGAAACTCAAATTAGCCAATCAGAATTTTGTATATATACGTATATCCAAACACCCAAATTTAATTAATATTAATATTAATAATAATAATACATATGTAAACTCGATAAGTCGGTCATGTCGGGGAGGACCCCTGTAACCGACTTATTATTATCGAGAGAACCGAGTTATAGAATTTCACGTGATTTTTTAAATTTAAAATTTTTTAAAATATTTATTTATTTATCTTTTATCTCAAACATTAGGAGGTTGCAAAATCAATCTTTTATACATATTTCTGAACATAATAAAATTTAATAGGAATACAAATGTATTTCTTCACACTAGATAATCAATTATATAAGTGATGATATAATAAAAATGATGATAAAAATGAGATAAATAAATACAGATGTATTGTTTGTGATTAGACAAGAATGTTATCTAAATTCTTGATGAGATAATAATATATTAATGCCTTATTCATGATAAATTAATGATACAGTTGATGATATAACTGCTGAGATAATAAAATATTAATGTATTATTCATGATAAATCATCAAATGATTAAAAGTCTCTTGTTAAAATGACTTGACAAGAAAAAATGGATGTGTGATTATGCATTATAACTGATGGAGGCAATAAAATATGAATGTAGTTCACAAGTGAGAATGCTCTCTTCCTTCTAATTATAAAAAATGAACAATAAAAATGGTTTTTTTACATCAGATATTTTATTACAAATAATCATTTTGCTAACGACGATTACGAATAAAAAAATTATTAAATCACACATTACTAAAATAGTAATGATAACCCTTCACATAGTGAAATATCACGTGAGACCGACTTATCGTGATTCATTTAATTATACTTGGGCTAAGTGATTGACCGACTTAGCGCTTATCGCGACTTTATATAGATCGACCGACTTATCGAATTTTTTTAAATAGTAATAGTAAAAAAAAGGGGCGAAACTTTTTGGCCGAGTTAGGCCAAAACCGACTTATCGAGTTTACATATGTAATAATAATAATAATAATAAATTTCTAATTGACACAAATTTGATTTTGACTCACAACATATTAATATTAATATATATATATATATTATAATTATAATTAGGGATGTTAAATGGTCCGACCGGTCCGGCCCATGTCATCTTATTTAATATTAAGACGGATCAAACTGAAAATGGACTGAAAAAGAACTGCAGACGCCGGTCTTTTAGGACTGTTCAACATCCCAATTACTATATTAATATATTAATATATATTATATAAATGAAATTATTATCACATGATTTCGAAAGCTTTCTATATATCAATAATAAAGAGGGTCATATTGTCTCCTTTAATTTGGTTGTGGTTAACAATTACTTTTAGCGAAGCCTCTAGTATTAGTAAAACTAAAAATGCAATGGGCTTAATGACACATAAAATAACCTTTATTTTGTAAAATTTGATTTGCAAGCTTTATAGATCAAGCCCGCCTATATACCTATTGAATAATTGATAAACATTCATTTGCAAAACTTGATTTGCAAGCTTTGTAAATTTAATCTAAAATTTCTAATATATATATATAGAATAAAAATTATCTAATCAAAACATTTGAAGAAAAGACATCATTAATATATTGATTAATAATTTTAATTTATAATTTCTTTTGTCTTTTGATTTTGATTCTGATACAATCATCTTGTGAACCACGTTTTGCGACTGGCATTATCACAGGTTGATGAGAGAATGAGGAGACTAAAGTACAAATTCTATAATCACCGGGCGATAAACCTTTTACTTTAACTGATAAAATTCCATTTTTATCTGGTTGATCCAATCCTTTAAAGAATGCAAAATCCTTTGCATCAGGTAAATTATTACCATCAAGTTTTTGTATGGTAACGTGAGAATGTCCTTTGATCACGCCATTTTTCAACAGTTGAGGTTCGGCATAATATTTTTCGTTTGGATCGGTGAAGAAGCCGGTTATTAAATTTGAAGTTTTTGTTTTAACTCTAAATGATTGTTGTGATTTTAGTATTTGACCATTAATTGGTTC